TATATATATATTTATCTTGCCACTATATTTTATTTATAGCATAATGTTTATCTATATGATGCTATTTCTGCCGTATTTGAACCGAAACCATCATTTCTGGCCGGGAAGTTCACTAAAATAAACCACTGGGACACGACGTACAAATATTGATTCCTTCAGCCCGCTCCAGGAGTCTTAATTATCCTGCCGCGGCCCGTCGGCAGTATTTTAATGAGCAAGCCTCTAAAGAAGACTCTGATGTCATTTCCGTGGCACTGCGGTGCGTAGGTTTGGCGCAGAGGCTAAGAACGTCCCCATGTTGCAGCACTTGCACTCGACTTCAGGTCAATGTCGTGATAAAATTACTACAGCAGATACCACTGAATCGTCCACACGACGACGTCGTGCAACGGTGGTCGTGCAACAACACCGACAGGACGGTGGTCTTTTCCGCGTCGTTCAATCTTCCTTGGCTTTAAGACGTCAAAGGAGCCGACGTGACCTCCGAAAGGGCGAGGTAGTCAGGGAGCCCCAGTAGGGTATGGACGAAGAGATTGCCCATCGCTCACCTTTGCCATTCGAATATGGGCCATGGCGGATCGTCCATGAGTTCACACAGTGGGGTTGATGGTGTGACAGACGATTTCGTCAAGCACTGATGTGTGCAACAGATGTTTTGTCATGTCTTGTTTTTCTTCGCACTCGTGCTGCTGCTGAACAAGGCGAAGACCACCATCTGCGGCCTCAGAGACACCGCAGGTGACGTACAAGTACTCGCAAGAGCTGTCTCAGCCTGTGCCGCACCCGCATCCCTGAAGCACAGGAGTTGCTGGTGCAGGGGATCGTTGCAGGGGGCGTCAGCGGCCACAGTGGCTTCAGCCAGGTCGCGATGTACATCAGGGAAGCTGAACATCGGAAACCTGAAAGGAGAAATAAGCCGAACAGGTCAAACAGCGACGTGTTGATATCCAGCACACACGCCACAAAAATTACTGAAATATTCCAAGTGCATAAGACGAAAGCATTCAAACGGAAGCGCAAGGTAGCCAAATGTGCTGTACCGCGTTTGTATCGAGCTGATGCCATCCACTCCACCATGCATCTTCATGCGTAATCATTGAATCGTTCAGGTGAGCTTGGCGCCCTCCCGCTGCCTGCTCCGTGAAGCAGCTATCCATTCCATTTCTCTTGCCCTGGGCTTTCTTTCTTCATCTACGTTTCCTTCCATCCTTTTCCTGTAATACCAACTTGTATGGAAACGTCATTGCACGCAAACCCACTCCCCTTGTATGCGTCATCGTTCAACGGATTTCGCAAAAGCCAAGTTTCAGGGCTTTTCTGAAAGCATCGGCAGTAAATAGAAATACAAATAACAAATTATTTCAGGGTCTGCTGATCCGTCCACACTTCTGTAAATGCAGAAACCACCCGAAAACCACCGAAACAGAAACAGCGGAACCCTGGGCATCGTCTGACGCCGCAATACAGACCCCCCCCCCCCCCCCCCCACCTCCAAACCGGATGAGCCACGGTCCCGACGTCAATCAGTGACGTCACAGGAATCGCCTGTGGAGCGTGGGGAGACATCAATGTCAGCGTAGAGCCGAGGGGAATAGGACACAAAGCTTTCGCCGCTACGACTCTCCAAATGTGTGTGAGAAAATAGATACGTGGAGACTAATAGATAATAGATAAATGAAAACATGGAAAATGTATTATTACGCGTTAAGCGAGTGCATGAATATTAGCGTAAAAAGGGCTGGGACGCATGAACTTATCAATTCTGCAGCCGACGGCAACGCCCTTGAATCATTATATTTTTTGGAAGAAGATGGCAGACCCGAATGACTACTTCATTTGAATAAATTTCATGCCAATATTTTCGTGAAAACCAAAACACGCAATGAAAAAGTAATCAATGTGTCATTACGTTTAAGACAAGCGTGTTGTTTTGTGAAGCATTTATTTAAGTATTTATTCATTCAAGTTTGCATCCTTAGTGTCACCTCTGGAAATCATTTGCGTTGCGATCATTTGAGATTACTTTGCTTTCCTTTGAGTTGTTATATAACATCACATAACGGAAAACACTTCTGACATGTGATATAAGGAATGTGTCGAGAAGTGAGTAACACTGCTGTGAACGCATGCCCAGACAGACATTTGAGAGTGGAAGGAGCACTGCCATGAATTACTGGGTGATGATTTATCGATCAGCTGCTTTGACGTGCTCTGCCTTCAAGCGTCACTGGAGGCAGTATGGCTCGACGTGTGCTCTAAGCACATACCGAGCAAAACATCATTGCCGAAGTTTTCCGAAAACTTTTGTCTGGTAGCACTTTTATCTGGTAGCACTTCCGTCTGTTGTTTACCAGCTCTTCACAACGGCGCACTTCTTATACGACCCTCTACTGCTGCTGAGTTCTAAAGGGCATACAGCTGTCCTTTTGCCGAAGGCTTGCAGGATTGTGCGTGAGTGGGTACTTTAGGCATGTGGAACGTGTCTTTAAGTTGCAAGTATTCTGGTGTCCTAAGACACATGCTTTGTTCTATGCAACCACATGTCCAGTAACACCGTGCTGTGGTCTTTCGGGGCCATCCGACAAAAATCCTCTCTGATGTGTATTTAAGCCCCTCGGTGCTGCCCTGAGATTCCCGACGGCTTGGGCGGCAACAGCAACAATGCTTACTCGGGGGAAATAACTGAAGCCTGGCAAGCTTCTGGCATATCCGGAACGTGACCCCGCGTGACCGGATTTAATCAGACGGCACCGGACGTCGCCGGACGTGGTCGAAAGAAACCGGACAGGAGAGAACGGGATTAGGCGGGACCAAACAGAGCCAGACAGAAGCATACCAAACGACGGGAATCGGACGAAAGGGGCGAGGTCAGAGGGGATTGGACGGAGCATGCTGCTATCGGACGCGGCAGGATGAGATCAGACGAATTTTAGGATAGCCGTCGACGAAAGCTGCTACCGTAAGGTCTTAAAACGACGTAAAAATAAATATATCATCCTTATCGCAACGTCACCGCTGTGGGCGGCGGAACGGCGGCGCGTGGCTCCTGTATCCCGGGCGTGTTACGCTGAGGAGAGGAGGGGAGCGGGTCACGCGGCGCGACCGCAAGGCATCGAATGGTGTCAGCTGTATGTCTGTTTCGGCAGTGAGCCTTCGTATACATTACGCAACCCTAAAAAGACTAACCTTGAAAAGGACCTTTCCAGGCACAAAACTACGCTGCTTGTTATCAGTAAGGTTGGTCTTGTTGCTCGGTAGGATAATTATGCAGCCTACTCTCAAAACGCCAATAGCTGGATTTCTCCTCAGACCCCACCCGCCTTCTCCCCAAGGTGTATGGGGAGGGGCTCCAGCCCCCTCTTCCAAACGAATAGGAAACTACACCTCGTTGTTCGGCATTATGAGATCAGAGTTCTCATGTCGAGTTATCAACCGTCCGCATGCCAGGAGGTACGGTTATATGACGCTACAGGGCGAACATGTTTTATATTGTCAGCATCGGCGTTTCAACCGTGCTTATGATATCGAGTGTTTCATCATACGTCGCGGCAGGGGGATGATTTGGCTATTATGATAACCATTGGCCATTATGATACCGAGTGTGTCATCATAGGCACTCAGCAGTGCCTCATCGACTTCCTGCGGCCTTTGTCCCCTTGGATTTCTCGTCTTCTCTTATCCGTGCCAACTTGATGAGGAGTGCTCCACATTTGTATGAGGTTTTGAGCTGATGCAACTATTTAAAAGATCACTTGGAGCAGTTCACGGCCCTGCCCTTTTCAAGGCCTAAAATCGTCTGGTTTCTAAGTAAGTCGCCTGTTAATTTGTGAAGACGATTTTCCAGACGATTTCAAAGTCACCCAGCCATGCATTACGCCATAGTAACGTCACGTAAATACGGCCACCCTATTGGGGTGACACTCCTTATGCCTACGTGGCTTTTACATATAATTAGTCTGAGAGATAAACAGATATATGGCGCCCAAGGCCAAGATATCTATGACCGTCGAGTCATTCATGTCTGACGTACGTCAGCACGATTTCTGGCATCAGCGCAATTCAGTTGTCTCTCAGAGTTGGTCAACGTCTCAACCAAAAGCAAGCTTTGAAGACGAATTACGTTTTGTGCTATGCAATGCAGGAAGGTGGACAGCGTCACGAGTGATGACGAAAAGCAGACTGAATCGAATAACTTCAGAATGGCGCCGTAACTATGCGTGTGAATGCAAGCAAACAATATGAAATCACATTAATATGCAAGAAGGCAACGAGAAAGGGCCAGAACGCGCGCACATAACCATGTTGGGGTTCTAAAAACAGCGCATCGGTTGGCACGACACTTCTTGAGAAGTTGAAATATTTCAAGTGAGTCAGCCAGTCTGCTACGGTGGCAATTTCGCACGGCCAGTTTGGCAACATCTCTGACGTCATATAAACGTTCCATAACGCATTCAAGCGTATGATGACGTATTAATGGGCATATTTGCTCAAAGTGAGATTGTGCTGTCTGAGCAAAAAATAATAAATGAAGCAATTGTAGCTTACCTAATACATAGCTGGAATCATGAAGTGCTCGATTTTCTGATGACATGCTTACTGCTTTTACGGCACATTATGATCTCTTTCGAAGAACCGTAGAATGTGCTTGTTTTGCAGCGGGCCATTATTCACTAGCATTGTTATTTATAGAGCATTGACGTGCCCAATGAATTTCTACACGAAAGACCACGAACTGCTTTTGCATTTCACCAAAAGCATGGCGTGTCTGCCGCTGTCTTGTGTTCGTTCTCCTGGTCACGGCAAGTGACTTTTGTAACGCCCCTAATCATTCACTGATTGGATGTCCACCGGTCTGGTTGGCTGCTGACGGCTCTGAGCGGCGAATCCCTGACTGTGCGCGGCACGTCCCGCGTCAGCTGCCCTGCCTGAGCTGTGTGGCTGGTCACATCGCGCCACGTGCCTTACGTGCGTCACAATGAGGCGCTCCGTCTCCTCGTCAGCCGCCTGCTGCCGGGCACAGAGCTGAAAACCACGGCGGAGGAGGTAGACGACTACCTGGCGCGCGCCATCGACGCCCGCAGCATAGACCGTCTGCGGAACCAGCACTGTCGGCGGCTGCTACTCACCTTCAACTCGGCTCACATCGAGCAAAAGGTAACGCGGAGCGGGCCCACATCGAGCACAGGGGGACCAGGAGCGAGCCCATGTCGAACAGAAAGTGACCTGGTGTGTGTCCCGTGCAGAGCAGATGACCCGGAATATAGTACGCATTGAACAGAAAGTGGTCTTCAGAACGACACATATCAAGCAGAGGTGACCTTGAGAGTGCATCTAGGTCAATCTGAGAGCGACGCTGAACATGGTCTACGTGGAGCCGAAAGCGACTGAGTCTCCCTCATGATGTCCTGCGTGCATCGTGCTCAGTAGAAGGTTGCGATTATCAATCCCGATATCGCACCACCCAGTCAGCCACGGCAGCGCAGCGAGTATAGCATTGCAGCTCCCTGTTTGGTAGGATTACGATTTATCGATGAAATGCCAAGTCTTGGGATATTGTTGACGAAACAGTACCATTGGTGTCATCTAAGAAACGTGCAGATACAGCCAATTATACCACAATGATCAATGTTTTGATTTAAACAACTCATGGATGATTTCAACACAATGATGGGAGTGTCATCGGTCTTGTTCACAACATAATGCTACAAATTGTGGCAGTGAGAACCCTAGCACATCCTAACCCAACCAATACCTAAACCAACCTAATCTAATCACATCCAACATAATGCGGCTTGGTTAACTCTTGCCCTGATTCGCCGTCTCTCCATAACGAGGACTGATGTAGGGGAGCGGGGGTTGACACACCCCTCTGCCATTTGCAACGTAATAAAGATGAAGTTAAGCGGAGCGCCAACATGTTGTTTAACGGGAACTCATATCACAATCATGCGTCTACAGCATAATCAATCGCCTTAATCTTGATAGTAATAAGCAGTGTACTATATTTTAAGATAGTGAGTAACGGTCAGATGTGCCAGAAAAACTCACCATGTGATTTTGCTGTTTGGTAAATATTGCCCTCAATTCGCGATCTTTCGATCACGTCATGGAGCTTCGTAATGTCAGAGTCGCTGTCAGACGGGTTGTGTCAGAATTGTCACTGTGGCGGGCGGGCTGACTCACTCGAAGTACTTTGACTCTCTGGAAGTTGGCGTGCTAAGAGATGCTTGCGAGTATACCCGATGATCGTTATGTGCACGTGCTTTGGCCCTTTCTCGTGGTGTTCTTGTATATTTTTCCGGTTATCACATGTTTCTTACTTGCATTAGCGTTCTCGGTTACGACTTTATTCCAAAATTATTAAATTCCTGGTACTATGCCCGTCATATTTAGTAACGATGTCCAAATCCCTGCATTTATATCACAAAACGCGGTTAGTGATCAAGGATTGCATTTTACGCGTTAAGCTAGCTGAAAACCAAATTAAATCTTTCTTGACCTTGAGCCCAGTATGGCAGCTGAGGAGACGAATTCGTGTGACGTATCTTTTACGTCATACTTTTCTGAGTGACTTGAAAATAGGCGGCGCGAAGTAGTCAGCAGAAGTTCACGTCGGCCAAGCACAAAAACGAGGGAATTTTTAGTCTAAAAATGTCATAATTGTGACCTACAGGGAAAAGTCTTGAAGATGACTGTCTCATTTCAAAACCCTGTGAAAACGTGGAACGGTTCCTTTATTATGATGTAATCAAACCAAATATGACCTTCGTTTTTCATGAAATAATGGAGGAAGGACCGAGAAGCTGACATACCATGTGACATTTTGTGATCCCGACGATGTATTACTTTTTCGCAGGTCTATATTTAACTGATGCTTCTCGTTTTCAGTATTCTACGAAGCGTGACAAAATGCTATCAGTCTACTTTGTGAGCGCATTCACAGTATTTGGATTCATCGTAGCTGTGCAGTTCATCATTGTACCACAGTAAGTTTCTTCAACGCATGTCTGTCTTGAGTGCATCTTTCACGTATCCCTTGGTCCAGTACCTTGACAGTCTGGATGCAGTATCAGGATCAACATTACGTTGTGGAAGCAATCACATTGCATCGTTCGTGCATCGCCGCTAACTCTAATTAGTGTGTAAATCATAAGCTGATCATGCGCGAGATCATTCAATATTTTCATATTTCTTTTTATGTCTTTCCGCAATATATGTTTCCGCTGGCACGCTTGTCCATGGGGAATTCCCAGCTCGGGACACCTGCTTCCGGGAAGGAGCCCGGCGCGTCCGCCACAGCTGGACGCCTGCTCAAAATGCCGCAAACCGCCGAGGCAGGCCGCTCCACGCTCCACGCGCCAACAGCCGGCAGTGGCACGGAGTCGTTGGGACCGTCCGTTACGGGCCGATTCCCAGACCAGCGATTTCGGCACGTTGCTGGAGTCAGGAAGGCTGTCGTGTCTTGAATACACAAAGTGAAATCGGTATCGGTGGCAACACCGGCCGGTGCTGTCGGCTGTTAATGGGTTTGACTCATATACTGCTTTAAACCGCTTTACGTCTGCTGACGCTTAAGGGGCTGAACGGATTGGTTGCGCAGATCTTTCTAATCTTCAGAGCAAGCCGAAGGGATAAACTAAGGATAAATCGAATTGCTTCGAATCAGATAAACGGGTGGCGCGCAGCGCACGCAGTTGATGTCGACGCTTTCAAACTAGATGTCCACTGACATTTTGTGCCGACACCAGATATATTTTCAAAAAGTATGATACTTGGCACGAAACGTGATCGACTATTTCATTTTGCATTATCATGAAGCTGGCGAATGTAGGCATGTTTATTAAGGGGAAACAATCCGTATACAATAGAATGTATATGTACCGGAGATGTGATCAGGGTTCACCACGGTGCCAAAAGAAAAAACAGTATTTGGTCCAATCATACTTCCCCCTGCCTTGAGGATGAGTTCGTGACGTCACGTGAGGCATGCTCACCGTCCAATCACAGGGCTCGATTGCCAAATGATTTGCTTGACGATGACGGATTGACGTAATGCGGCTACAACCAACCCATAAAAGTGTTTTGGAGCTAGTTTAGATTTTTTTGGGAGCAGGAAATACTGTTTTAAAAACTTGCAAGCATCTGCTACGAGTTAGTCTCTTGAACATTAGACAAAAGGCCGCATCTCCGCCGGCTGGCCGCACCTCGACCACACAAAGCGTTTGTTAGTTGTTTATCGCTACCCAGCCCGATCTAATCACTGGTGTCGGGTTCGCAACCACTTCAGTAGGAAGATGTGTGGTTACCTGAGGGCACGCTGTAGGGCTGCTGAACGTGCTGGAGTCCGTCAGGCGGCCAGGGGAACGCGGCCATCAACGTCACCACGAACTGCTTCACCTGCTTCACAGCTCGGGCAGCGCCAGCCGCACGGTCGTGAGGACTTGTCAACCCCCCAGTTCCGTTCAGGCCCCTTATATCTGGTCTCAAATATCATGACTTATCAGGCAATTAAGTGGCATTCCGTACAGACCCAGTGATATCTTTGAATCTATTAGCATTGTGCTGCGCTTTGTCAAGCTGAGTGGCGGGTGGTTTGTTGCAGAACGCTGCTCACCACGGCGACTTTCTTCGTGGGTGGTGTGGTGGTGATCGGAGCGGCGTACCTGGTCATGGCTGAGAGCTGGAAGGTAAGCGGGTCTCGCCGCGGATCGCGACGGGCGTGACGCGTACGTGACAAGCGTGACGGTCTGCGCTCCTCTACGACGCAGCCTGAGGAAAGCACAGGCCGGGAGCAGACGCGCTGTCTCCGGCAGAGATGCCAGTCGTCGATTTGTTCGTTGTCTGTCGCATGACGAAACCGCAGTCAGTGCTAAGTAATGCGTGTCTGGTGAATGATAAAACGCAAATGTCGAGTACGAGAGGGGCTCCCGGGAGCCTGGCCGCGTAGAGCCTGGTACACTGCCGTGGCATTGTGTGTCTCCCCCCCGCGCTCCCCCTCCGCTTGTTTGATGTAATGAGGAAAATTGGCTGACACTTCCGGCGACAATGGGCATTCAGTTTCCGAGAAGTTTGCCATTTCCGTTTGTGTGCATAACCTTTGCTTCCAACAGACATTCTACTCAAAAGACTCCTTGTGGTTCAGTCTTTGCGTGTCAGGATGTTTGAACCTGCCGCTTCATACATGTCACCGAACAATGAACACAGTCTTTACATACAGCCTTCACACAGAGCAGCCCAACATCACCGGCACAGCTGTAGGCCAAGTTCACTTAATGAAACTAAGATCTGTGATGGCTGGCGGCGGCTACTAGCAGTCCATACTACCACCGGTAGTGCGATCGGACCACGGTACTGGGACGTCCATCAGAACCGTTCCGTCTGACTGCACCGCGTCACGCGCGTCCATAGTTATGAACAGCTGGTCAAATATGTCTGGACTCATCATGCTCCAACAAAGGTCTCTAAGGCCGTTTAGCTTCTTGGGAAATAAGTCGTTCAAATCATGCCATATAATCTTCCGGAAACTATGACAATGGTTTCTCGATTTCAATAATGGGATGCTATCAGTGGTGTGATTCGATACTTACGCTGGAGAAGCGCGTCTTCGGCTCTGCGTCAAACAACGCATTCGGTCGGGCTCACGAACCGCAAGACGATCCCCCCTCTCTCTGATTGGCTTAGGCAACTAGCCACGCCTCTCATACGGTGATGTCCATGGGTTATTCCTCACGAAATAATACATTATTCCCGCGCGCCGTGGTTGTGATTCTTTCCGTTCGATAATGCTGTGTGAAGCAAATCGCCTGTTATCGAGTGGGACTCAGACTCGCAAGAGAACTTGACTATTGCTTGATGTACATGTGGATGGTGTGTGCGGAGTAGATGGAGAAAAGGTCGGGCGAGACGCTGGGAAATATGAGATTCGAACTTGCAAGGCGCATCTTTGATATACCCTCGATAAGGACTGGCACGAGCCGGACCGTCACTAACCTATCTCGTAATACAGTCAGAAATCTGCTACACCATTCGGCAGCCAGCCATTCGTGTGGAAGCGACTTTCCAAGTCAGGTCGGGCCTAAGACGGCCACCGGGTCAGGCCTGGCCTGAGACGACCACCCTGTCCACATCGCGGCCTAGCCACGGCTGCCGCCGTCGCTTCGATTTCGTGGCCGGCTGGCGGGCCATTATCGGGCCACAGCCGGCGAAATGGCGTTGAGCTGTGGGCGACACAGTGCCGGTCCACGCCCCGGGCCTCGGCCTACCCTGCCACGCCGCGCTGGCCCACGCCCCGCCCCGCCACACCGCGTTGGCCCACCTCCCGAGCCTCGGTCTACCCTTCCACACCGCACAGCGTCATCCACACCACCCGAAGAGGCAGTGTGGACGGCGCATGACGGCAAATAATCTATCCCAGTCCGGGACGTTTTTCTTATTCTGAAATAAGCTAAATTTTGCTGATTGACATCGCTCTAAATACAGCTCCAATTAGCAACTTAGGTATCAGGCTGCCCCGCAGCGGCTGCAGGCGGCAGCAGTTGGCCTGTAAGCATTCCAACGTGGCCTCCCTGAGAGAAGATGGCTTGCCTATTAAAACTTGTGCTGGCCGGCGGTCTCGGCCTCCCCGCTCCCGTACCGCAGCGTGTCGGGGCGCGGGTCTGACACGGCGCTGGCGGCGGCGTTCGGCGACCCCTGCGGCAGAACGTCCTGCGCCGGCCAGCGGCCTCGGCCTCTCCGCGCCCGCACCGCAGTGTGTCGGGGCGCGGGTTGGACGCGGCGCCGGCGGTGGCGCTCGGCGGCCCCTGCGGCAGAGCGGCTGGCGACGGCGACAGGGCGCCGACCCCGGCCGCCGTCCGCGATCAATGGCCGCTGGCGGCTGTTGTACATACCGGCCGGGACAGAGGCCCGCTAACGACCCACACGGCCTGCCACTGCCAAAGGGAATCGGGATGCATTGACGCGGCATGTGTGAATGCGTTGGTGGTGGGAGGGGCCTGTCCCGACAGCAAGCTGTCCCCAACTCAGGCGCTATTTTTACGCTTCTGGAGCTGCCCTGTTGATATGGATTTATCCAAACCTAAAAGTGCAACTTGAAATATGTGGACCACGAGGGACAAAAACAGCTAAGGTGTGGTTTCTACAAAGTAAAATGAGAGTCCGTGCTCTGAACCGACCACCCTGAGTTGCCCCAAATGCAGCGTTTCATCCAGGTTGGACCATTTCTTTTCACCAAAGCCCTAAATGCTAGGCAGAGTCATTTGGCGGTTTGTCTTCATTGTAGGTGGGCTGTGGTATGACGTCATTGGGTACGACTTCGTTGCGGCCTTCAACGCGTAGTACGTGGACAAGCGGATCGTAGGTGCCGGTTACCTTTTGTCTGTCTTGAATGATTACTGCGCACCATAGTGGATGACGCTTCATATATTGATGAATCGAAAGTGACGATCACCAGGAGGACTCACGGTACTCCACCTAGCTGCAACTTGGAATCCAGGAAACGCAGTAAAATAGTCAAACTGTGACTTGAACAGAAACATCTGCTGCGTTACGCGGCCGTTCCACAAGGATGAAAGAAATTAACTTTTGGTATGCACCTTATGGTTATAAAAAAACACGAAGCTATTTCAGCCACAAGCCGTTATCATGTGAATCACAGACCGGGGTTCGTCTGCAGCTCACACGAGCGACCTGCACTGGACTATGGCTGCGCGATGTGGGCAGAAGCAGCTGGAGCCACAGGCCTACACGGATGGTGTTCCCTTTAACCAAACCACCCACTCTCCATGATGTTGTGCTCGTACCCACAAGCTAGCCGTTCCTAATCAGTGGTACTCACCCGGTACCGGCTCATCTGCATTTTTCCAGAACTGCAGTGGCAAATTGTGGAACAGTTTCAGGAAAGCTTCATCCAAACTTACTCTTTCGCCGCGGTAATTGCACAAGTAGTGTGATTAAACTAATTACGACGAAAAGAAGAGCAGGCAGCAACAATTGTCATCTTTCTTGAAGCATGCACTTGACATTTCGTAAATGTTTTACCCATATCCGTATGCGTCCCGTAGACGCACCCGTCGGTACCCATGGTTTTACCCAGCCCACGAAGTCTTAAAGCTGCAGCCAACTTGAGACGCATGGGGTGTATTCGGCAGAAGTTTCCGATGTGGCTGGCTGTCACGTCCGACAAACATCACCCAGGAATGGTCTATAACAGTCGCCTGACGCATTTCAGCAGCTGTTGCATCTAGTGACAGTCTGCTCGGTGTGATCTTATGTTCTCATACAATGTTTTCTGGAAAGACTGGACGCCCCTGAGCTCGTGAAGCCTTTGGACCAAATGCGCGGGACGCAATGCTCTTAGCCGTCCCCGGTTAGAGTCAAGTAAAGCCCCGTGCTTTTCAGCGAAGTTTTTGTTGTGGCCGCCTGCTGAGCGCTGAGTTCCGATGCTCACTGCGCAATAACCTTGTTACATTTAGCACGTGTTTTTACAGGACTAACGTGTTCGT